CACACACACACACACACACACTGATGGAGCTGTTTAATGCATGAGACTGAAACCATGTTGGAGAGCAGCCGCCACAGAGATCCACCGATTCTTCTGTGTGTGGTCGAAGCTTTTATTTACCTGAGTTTATTCACACAACTGCTGATTAGTATCTTTATACAGTGTGTCAGTGCCACACAGCTGTCTGATTCTTCGTCACTGACATACCTCTGTTTCTCCTCCTGTTTCCTGTCTTCAGTCATAAAAACTGTCCAATATAAAGACCAAAATATCAAAGAATTAATGTTTATAAAAAAAGACAAACATAACTGTGAACTTGGCAGTACATCCAACCTGCCTTACTAGAACACAGCTCAGTTATGAGGACAAACTGCTGTCAGGTCCAGACTCTGGTGAGGATGACGAGCGTCACTGAGACAATTATTGAAGAAATTCTTCAGTTGTTGAAACCGTTTTTTGCATCAGCTGTTCAGGTGTCTGCTCTCAGACGATCTCACAGGTGAAGACACTGGATGTGGAGGTCCTGAGCTGGTGTGGTTACACGTGGTCTGTGGGTGTGAGGCTGGTTGGATGTGCTGCCAAATTCACAGAAATGACGTTGTATCGTAGGCAGCTGGACTGGCTTGAGTTTCTTGAAGACATTTCTCCTCTTATTCAAGAAGCTTTTTCAGTTCTGACTGACTGGTGCAGAGTCGCAGGCAGACCCGCTGCTTCTTCACACTTTAACCTGAATAACAAACCGGAGCTAGCTGGGAGCGGCTAGCGGAGCGTTAGCCGCAGCATGACCGGAGGGAAGCACAGCCAGTTAGCCTCCGCTAGTCTCTGAGCTAGCCCCGGCTCTCCGTTTGGATCCAACCGGAGCACCGAGCCCTGGTTTGTTATTCAGGTTAAAGTGGGAAGAAGCAGCGGGTTTATCGGGCAGCTGAGTGAAGTGGAGCCTGCGGAGGAAACACCGGGACCGTCTGGATGTAATAGTCCGTGGAGGTGCTGCGGTGCTCGGCTGCACAGATAGGAAACCCCTCGGCTGACAGGATGTACCACTCTCTCACTCCGCTCTCTCTCACGCAGGCGCAGAACGTACGTGCTACTTGGCCGTCGGATGTAGTCCGTGTAGTGTGTTCAAATGCAACTGACACAGGGCGACGTGAGGCGACGTAGACGACGCAACAGTTGGCTTTCGTCGCCGCTAGTTCTTTGATGTCGGTTTGGTGTGTCTGCACCTTAAGGGTCAGATAGGTCCAGGTGTGAATGGTTGTGAAGTTGTCTGAGAAGGGATCCCAAGACTGCATTGTAGGTGGGTGATAATGTGGGTGACCTCAGCGACTCTGTAAGAGTTCACACCTGAACGTAATGTAAAGCCTGTGACTCTGCACCAGAAGCTTCTTGGATGAGTGTGCTAACTGACTCAGATTTTAAAAAAGAGAGATAAACATATTTTAATAAAAATTAATTTTGTTTGTGTCACTCTCAGTTGTTACTGTCTCATAAATCAGACATTGATACAGAAACATGATGACTGATGAAAAACCTGCTGCCTGCAGTTTGTCTGTGTGACGACAGGTGTGTTTTCTCCGCCCAGTGGCAGTGTGTGTGTCATATGTTCAGATGTTCCTGGTGGCCCCTGATTGGTTGACACCTCACACAGAAAAGAACTGGATCTACGGTGCAAAATTTTTGCTTTTTTTTTTGGTAAAAGAATGACACTGAAGATAGGAGAGTCGGGAGGTGCAGAGAGGCTGTGACCAAAACTGTACAAAAAGAGCAGTGACACTTTCAGTATGTCTCAGTAGGGATTGCAGGAGGGGGGCGGGGCCTTTAATGGACGCCACGCCACTGATGCACACAAAATGTTATTCTGAAAAGTAACGATACAGATAAACATAAAAAGAGTATGAACGTGATGCTGATGATGTTTGTGTGTCTTTGACTCCTCTATCAGAGTAAGGAGATCCTCTTCCAGCTTCAGGAAGACCTGATGAAACTTCTGAACGAGCTTTACACTGTAAGTGGAACAAACTGTCTTCAGTAACAGTGATGATGGAGTGTGTCAGCAGGTCTCTGAGAATCAGACATGTGTCATTTCTTTCTGTCCGGAGGCTGTAAGAGACGCAGACAGAGCATCAAATTAAAGTTTAAATATTATTGAAATATTCTTTCTTGTACAGAATGAATCAGAGTAAAGAGGACGTGTTTGATACTCAGAGATGTTTCGTCAGCTTCCTGTCCAAACGTTGATCCCAGACACATCGCTCTGATAACCTTGACGAGTAACAACATTCAGCTGCAGTGTAACGTTCTCCACTTCCTGTGTTACTGTGTGCTCCTGTTACCTAGGTGATGAAGACGTATCACATGTACCACGTGGAGACGATCAGCGCGGAGACCAAGCTGCGGGAGGCAGAGCGTCAGGAGGGCCGTGTGAAGGGCGTGTCGGGGACGGGCGGAGGGGTGGAGCCTGTGTTCGGCCTCCGGATAGAAGAGCGCCACCAGAGACGCAACGCCGCCCGCAAGATGGAGAAGATGAGGGAGAAGGTAAGAGGCAGGGGGAGGGGCTTCTCAATACTGTCATCCACATTTTGTCAGTGACAGACGATGAAAAGAGAACTGTTTCTGATTCTGCTCACACACAGTCTGTTTGTTTCTTCATCAGAGGAAGGCGAAGTACTCCGAGAACAAACTCAAGACTCTTAAAGCCAGGAACGAGTATCTGTTGACTCTGGAAGCCACCAACGCCTCCGTCTTTAAATACTACATCCACGATCTGCCCGATATCATCGACGTGAGTACACACTTCTGTTTCCTCTCATCGATACAAACAGGTCGGTGTGTGTGTGTGTGTCAACATGTGTCCTCTGTGTGTGTCAGTGCTGTGACCTAGGGTACCACTCCAGTCTGAGCCGGGCTCTGAGGACCTACCTATCAGCTGAGCTGAGCCTTGAAGCCTCCAGGAGGGCGGGGCTGGAGGTGCTGGAGGGGGCCGTGGAGGGCCTGGACCCCGCCCGAGACAGGCAGCGTCTGCTGGGCCTCTACCCCACCGCCTTCTGCCCCCCGCAGCGCTTTGGCTTCCAGGCACACATGGGAGACGCAGTCAGTACATCATAGTTTATTCACAGTCTGTATGCTGCACACAGACACAGTCGGTGTATGAAACACAGACTCTGTAATTTTGTTCTGAAGTTTAAGTTCTTCAGAAACCAGTTCTCAATCATTATTACAGATGTACACACAGTTTAATTTTGGGTCACAGGTTCCTCTGACACATAAACTTCACTAAAGTTAAAGTACAGGTATCAGGTCACATGTCTGAGTTTTGTTTTTCCTGAAGAGTAAATTTTTTTCTGATTTAATCCTGTTGTTATCGCTCCACTTCCTGTCAGGTGACCCAGATCGCCTCCCAGCCGCAGGTCCAGGCTGAGCTGACGCTCCGCCTCACGCAGCTGCAGACCCGCCTGGCGTCTCTGAAGATCGAGAACGAAGAGGTCAGACACACAGATACTGCAGCACATATCGTAAAGAAGCTGAGCTTGAAAAAATATTTCAAAGATAACTGGCTGTTCGTTAGACCCTCCCCCTGACCAGAGATTGTCCAATCACAGCTCAGCAGCTCTGACTCCTCCCATCGGCCTGTAAAGCTTTCAACTTCTCCACATGTTAAAGTCATGAAAACAAGGCTGCGGTGAGAGTGATGCTGCGTTCAGGTGCTCCTCTGATGGGAACACGTTCCTCTGACTTCAGTGTGTTCATGAGCTTTAAGTCTTAAAGGGACAGTGCACCCAAAAATGTAAATTCAGCCATTATCTACTCACCCATATGCCGAGGGAGGCTCAGGTGAAGTTTTAGAGTCCTCACATCACTTGCAGAGATCCAAGGGGAGAGGAGGTAGCAACACAACTCCACCTAATGGAGGCTGACGGCGCCCCAGATTCAAACGTCCAAAAACACATCATTGAAACCACAAAATATCTCCATACTGCTCGTCCGTAGTGATCCAAGTGTCCTGAAGCCCCGACATAAAAAGTTGTTTGGAAAAACCTCATTTGAACTCTGTTTTTAGCCTCATTGTAGCCTGTAGCTCTGACTGCCTCTCTGGGCACCGCGCTCACGTGTGTGCGTTTTTCCAAACAACTTTTTATGTCGGGGCTTCAGGACACTTGGATCACTACGGACGAGCAGTATGGAGATATTTTGTGGTTTCAATGATGTGTTTTTGGACGTTTGAATCTGGGGCGCCGTCAGCCTCCATTAGGTGGAGTTGTGTTGCTACCTCCTCTCCCCTTGGATCTCTGCAAGTGATGTGAGGACTCTAAAACTTCACCTTAGCCTCCCTCGGCATATGGGTGAGTAGATAATGGCTGAATTTACATTTTTGGGTGCACTATCCCTTTAAGGAGGAAACAACAGTGAAGACGTGTTTTATTTTATCACTCAGAGCATCACAACACCACGTTGAAGGCTGTTTCCAGTATCTGATTTTGTCCCAGAGTCACTGCTTCACCAGGACATCCCCTAAAACCACTAAAATATTTCTTCACTTGGTCATTATCAGTGTGAATGAATAACTTTTATACTGATCTAGGTCACTCTGCATGAACAGCAGCTAACAGTAGATGGTAACACCACAGATACAGTCAGTGTGTAGTCATAGTTCGAGGTCACTGAGACACAGAGACGTGGGAGTAGGGCTGGGCAATATGACAAATTTTTAAAAATCATATCGTGTCCACGGTATTTGATGATGTTTTGGAGTGGTCTTAACCACATTTTCCTTTAAGAAGAAAAGAGTTACTGCAGTACATCGGCTTTAAACAGCCCATTTTACTGTCATAAGGACTGTATCATGTTTTTTCATGTCCACACAGGTAAATGCATGACCCCTTCAAAGTATGGTTGCCAGTAGGGTGGCAGTAAAGAGTTAAAGAATGATTATGGTTGCAGTCAAAATAGAACATTTTTACTGAACCAAGTTTGCATAATCAGTACAGTGTGGAGATGTGGAGGGTGCGGATCTCTCTCTCTCTCTCTTGGTACTCTAAAACGTGCTTACGGCTAAGGTGGTGCAGCAAATTGCTTGTGTTGCCACCTCCGACTACAACTTTTGCTCAACAGCATTTGCAGTAGATGGTCGTTTGCTCCACGTCTGACCTTTTAAAACCGAAGAACCTCCAGACGACAGACATGGCTCCTTTTTGGAGTTCTTCTGGGTCATCGTGTTCTTCTTCAACAACGTGTGCAGTTGCTTTGCTTTCAGGACTCTCTCCAGCAGCCATTCTCGCCTCTACACTTTCCTCTGTGCTCTCACTCTCGCCGGCTCTAGCACACCTGTGGTGTGCAGCGGTGAAATGGGTCCCTGTTGAAACACTTTCCCGCTGCGCACGTTCCAGACGTTGTTTGGGCTGTTCACCGGTAATGCGGTATATGAAAAATTCATATCATAACGAAAATAAAGACCAGTTTTCTGTACGAACTGGTATACAGCCAGCCCTACATGGAGAATAGAGTCCAGGTTAGAAAATACCACAGTTCCCTTTTAATCAGTTGTTTTCCAGTCACGTCTCCTAATGAGCTTAATAACTATTTGAATCACTGAAACTGTCTGAGATGTGGACGGTGTGACATCAGTCTGCACTCAAACCTTTAACGTCTGCACCAACTCTTCTGACTGTTGGTCCAGTAGTTGCTGAGATATTCCGACTCAAGCTCCTCCCTGATTACAGACGAACATGTTTATCTGACAGGTCCGAACTTTGCTCAGAGTTATGGTAATTTATACAGTTTTAATGGGGCGATAATGGAGCAGGTGTAACCTCTAAAAATAAACTGGTGCCATCTGAAGGCGACCGGGCTGCAGTGTGTGTTGTGTTGTTGTTGTGTCGTGTGCACAGAGGGCAGCTGTTAACTCGCCCTGAAGGGCAGAAAACTGCTGAAGGAGTCTGGATTAATGAGCTGCATCTGCACGTCTCACACACACACACACACACACACACACACACACACACACAGAGCCTGATTATCATGTACAAATAAAAACACTGTTACACCCATTATCCTGCTGTAAATACAAACACACTTTGCATACGTACTGTACACACACACACACACACACACTTCATCAGACGCTGAGGAGACTGAGACTCCATCTGAAACGATTGATAATTCATACGTGCTGATCCGTGAAGCTTTGTGCAGTCGTGACATTTATTCTGGTGTTGTTGCATTCAGGTTCAGCAGAGCACAGATGTTGCTCCAGTCTTTCTTTAAAGGTGGAGAATAAACTGTGGTGCAGCAGCTCTGAGCTCTGAGAGCAGGAAACAGTCCTGACCGGCTGAGGTCTGTCTCTCAGTGATGGATGCACTATTTGGGTGGAGTTATTTGGGAGTGACCTTGTGCAGGATGCTCTTCTTCTTCTCTCTGCAGGAACCAACGTCCTCTCTTCATCACAGGAAAATAGAGCTTTGTAAGAGGGATGATTTGAGTCTGGTGCACCAACACAACAGATGCAGAGGGTGTGGTGAGGGTGGAGGCCTGTAAATGCTGGAAGGCTCCGTATTTAAACTCACAGAAGAGACGCAGTTGAATTGACTGTAGATACAATTAGTTAAAGTTATGTTATCAGTCCCCTACAGCCACTGATGTGAGCATGTCTTAGTGACATCTGTGCAGGTATGGAGACAGAGCAGCAGCGCTAGCGTTAACACAACATTGCACTAACCCCGCAGAAAAAATCTCAGACAGAACAACAACAGTGTTTTGGTGAGCGATGTGCATTCAGCAGTCAGACGGTCCTTAATCCTGGTTTTAAAATCACCTGTACCTCTAACAGAATCTATTTTAAGGTGACTCGACACCAAGGCGAGGGAGCAAAGACTTTAAAAAACACCTCTGTCTCGCTCAGACTCTGTGTCTACAGCTGCCTGTACCGGAGAGCAGTGTAAAGCAACGAGCGCTCACTCTGCAGCTGAATCTGGGGACCAAAAAAACATACGAATCATGTGAGCTGGTCCTAGTCCTGTTTGTCTGTCCCTCTGCAGGTGAAGAAGACCTGGGGGGCGACTCTGACCACCCTGCAGGACATGACGGTGCTGGAGGACTTCGACGTCTCTCAGAGCTTCACCCACAGCCCGTCCTCCGAGTCGGTCAAGTCCAGCGTGTCGGACGGATACTTGAACAAACCGAGTCTGGCCAAGAAGCGAGCCAATCAGCAGGAGACGGAGCTCTTCTACTTCACGGTGAGGGAACTACACAGGAAACATCTTTAGCTTCTGTCTTTAGCTTCTAAGCAGATGTACAGAGTAATGTAATATTGATATCCAGAATATACAGAACATAGATTATGAATAAGGAGAAGATATGAATGTACATGTTTACAGCAACTACACAAAACACAGTGTATAGTTGGTGTGTGTTTCTATCACAAGTTTGGTCTTAAATTTAATTTAAGGTGATATTTAAAAAGTCTTAAATTTAACTAGTGAGGCGGGATCAGGAGGAAGCTGGGGTTGTGTTTCATGGCTGGACGGCGGCCATTTTAAAAACAGAAGATACATTTTTGCAGTTAATTTCATTCTGTATACGATAATACGACGTCATATTAAAATGGCTGCTCATTGTAAATCTTTAATAATAATTTATAAAGCCTGGCCTGACCCTGAACTCAGCTCTGAGCGGCTGCAGGAGACGACAGAGGATAAACGTGTGTTTTTATTTCTGAATCTGTAGAAATTCCGTGAGTATCTGGAGGGCAGTAATCTGATCTCCAAACTGCAGGCCAAACATGACATACTGAAGAAAGCTTTAGCAGAAGGTAACACACACACACACACACTGTCTCACCGCTTCTTTGCCACATATTTTATAACTCAGACGTTAATCAGAGGCTCTGCGTTTCTCCTCCAGGATACAAAGCTGAGCTGCTGACTACCAGGTATGACTTCCTGTGATGTTTCATGTCACAGTGCAGATTCTCTCCTCATGATAACAAGAAGAAGTGTGACCTCACCTGTTTCTGTGAAACTGAGACTCTCTCTGTTTGTTTCAGTCGCGGGCGGAAGAACTCCCACAGCAAGCACCAGGTAAAGTTTCACCTCGCTCAGACTGAAGGTTGTTTCTGTGTGTTTCTGCTGACGGTCAGGTGTTGGACGTGCGTCATGTCCTCCTCAGTGTTACAGTCAGGTTAGAAGCTCACAGGCTGCAAAAAGACTGATCCTGATTGGTGGAAGTTGTACTTGCAGCCTGTGAGGAGGCTGCACACACTGCTCTGGATGTTTTTCAGGTTAAAATGAACAAAAACATTTCGTCTAGTGTCTATCAGTATTCTTATGTACTCTTATCAATGTCATCTTAAAGGCATAGTGCACCCAAAAATGAAAATTCAGCCATTATCTACTCACCCATATGCCGAGGGAGGCTCAGGTGAAGTTTTAGAGTCCTCACATCACTTGCAGAGATTGTTTGGAAAAACTGTGAAAAACTGTGAAAAACTGTGGTGCCCAGAGAGGCAGTCAGAGCTACAGGCTACAATGAGGCTAAAAACAGAGTTCAAATGAGGTTTTTCCAAACAGCTTTTTATGTCGGGGCTTCAGGACACTTGGATCACTTCGGACGAGCAGTATGGAGATATTTTGTGGTTTCAATGATGTGTTTTTGGACGTTTGAATCTGGGGCGCCGTCAGCCTCCATTAGGTGGAGTTGTGTTGCTACCTCCTCTCCCCTTGGATCTCTGCAAGTGATGTGAGGACTCTAAAACTTCACCTGAGCCTCCCTCGTCATATGGGTGAGTAGATAATGGCTGAATTTACATTTTTGGGTGTACTATCCCTTTAATGAAAATGTGAAGTTTTACGCTATAATCTGTGTGCTTCAGTAGTTTAATGCAGTGGTTTGAGACTGTACAGAAGTATTAAAATTTCAGACTCAGAACCAGGAGTGGAGAAGAACTCCAGAGTCAATAATCAGTCCTGACTGTGAACCTGCTGACTGTTCACAGGATTCAACCAAAGCCATACCTTTGCTTGTGGAGAGCTGCATCCGCTACATCAACCTACACGGTGAGTTTCACTCACGACATCCAGGTTTGATCTGACCCAGCTGTTACTGATCAGAAGTACACATCTGTAGTTGTTATTTTTGTTTTAATCCTATGGTATGTACAGTATGTTGTGAATCACCTGTAACTCTGGTTTGAAAGACCTGATTAGTGTTTAGAGTTTATTGTTCTAATTAAATGCTGACACTTTTTAAAAGAGTAATCAGCTGTATCTGCAGATCTTTAAAAGTCTTGAAAAACATTGATTCAGTTTCCTCTGATGAAAGCTCTGATAAGATATTAAAAATTCAGTGAGGTCACCATGACGACCCGACAGACTGACAGACAAACACCCGTCTGCTCCCAACAGGTCTTCAGCATCAGGGTATATTCCGGGTGTCAGGGTCACAGGTGGAGGTCAACGACATCAAGAACTCCTTCGAGAGAGGTGAGAGGTCGACCTGAAGGTCACGTGATTGACAGCGTCAGGTGGGTCAGGGTGTGACTGACTGTTTCTGTCTCGTCGTCCAGGTAACGACCCGCTGATTGACGAGGAGAGCAACCATGACATCAACTCGGTGGCCGGAGTGTTGAAGCTTTACTTCAGAGGTTTGGAGAACCCGCTGTTCCCCAAGGAGAGGTTCAATGACCTCATTTCCTGTGTCCGTGAGTAACGCCGTCTGTTTACTGCTGCGCGTCGGGTAGTTCTTCGCCCCCACGTCGTGCATTAAAACCGTTTGGAACACACCTACTAGTGGATTAACTCTTACTTAATCAGCGTCTCCAGTAGGGCTGTCACATCATCTCGTTCATGATAAAACTGGTATAATTTTTAATGTAGAATAAGAAAAATTCATATCGCGATATTTGGACTTGTTGACATACTGACGTCATATTGTTACCCACGGCAACAACAAGCATGGCTGACAGTGAAATGATGATGGACTCCTTGGTGGTTCCAGAAAGAGGATCAGCTTCAGTAGGAATAAACTGTGGCGTCTGCTCAGAGGGAACTCATTCAGCGGCTCCTCTGGCAGCAGCACAGCGTCTCTCCCTCTCCTCTCTGATTCTGTCACAAACCTTTGCTGATGGAAATCTGCGTGAATAAACTCCATATATGTGACTGTATCATGACAGCCTGTCACAGGTTACAGCCTGACTGGCTATTATCGTGTTGCAATATATTTTTTGTGATAAAATATATTGTGATTTGGGGCGTCTGTAACGTAGTGGATAGTGCCGGCGCCCCACGTACAGAGGCAATGCCTCACTGCAGCAGTCGCAGGATCGAGTCCGGCTTGCAACCATTTGCTGCATGTCACCTCCCACCCTATCTCTCACCCCATTTCACTCTGTCCTGTACATTAAAGGCAAAAAGCCCGAAAAAATAATCTTAAAAAACATATATATATTGTGATTTTGTACGTTTTTCAATTGTGAATTTTGTCCCCAAAGAAAAACTTTGTCTGCATCCGTTTGATCTGTTAAGATAAAGTTTTCAGTCTGTTTCACAGAAAAATGTCTCTAGTGGACTGAAAAAGATTATTCTTGTAGCTACCTAGTAGTTTAATTTGTATTGGTAATATTAATAATTCATATAATAAAAAACCTGATTCCTGGCACTGTGTGTGACGACATGATACTGCCACACAAAGATATCATATCTGTATGGATTTTTCCCCTGACTCCTGGAAAGAAAACGTGGAAAAAATTCACTCAATTTCTACATCTCAGTTTCCAGGCTTGGAGAGGTCATGGTGTTGGTAAAGTCCTTGAAAGTTTTGGAAAAATCATGGAATTTTGTTATGTTTAAAGAAATGATTTGTTACATTAAACTTCCGTAGATAATCTTCCACATTACACAGCATGACGGCAGATTTATTTTCTGTAGCTTTTGACGTAATGCAGCTCTGATGTGTGTCGAGACGTCACATTTGGGTTACTGCATAGAATGATTATGATTCAATATTTAACATTTGGTGTAAAGCGTACAGTGCTGTGTACTCATATGTTGTTAATAGTCGTCTAAATTTGGTTTGGAGTCCTTGAAAAATCTTGAAAAGGTTTGGAAATGACTTTAATGAAAATATTTGGGACTCCTTTGGTCGTTTATGTGACCTGAATGTTGGTGCTGCTTCCAGGAAGCTTGTTAATGAACATTAATTATCGTGATGTGGAAATAAAGACTGAATTTCTCTTCAGCCCACACACACACACACACACACACACACACACACTCGTCCCCTCTCAGTTCCCCTGTCTTTGTGTCTCCTCAGCGTCTCTTTGTGTTTGTGAAACTCGTCCTCCTCAGCAGAGATAAAGATCCGTCTGCTGCTGTCGTCTCACAGACACCTCTCACTGTCTCAGGACTGACGATGATGATGATGATGACAGCTCTTCTGATGTGTGTTTCTTGCCGCAGGGATCGAGAACATGTACGAGAGAGCGCAGTGCATCCGTAAGATCCTGCTGGGCGTCCCCAGGGCGACGCTGGTGGTGATGCGTTACCTGTTCGCCTTCCTCAACCAGTGAGTTCCTGCTCACACCTCAAATCATCATGTTGTTCCATTTCCACAGAGTTGCTCCTCTCGTCCTGACGCTGAGGAGAGGACACACAGCTCTCCTGTGGTAAAGAGGAGAGAGGAGCACACTTACAGCAGCTCTGCAGCCTCTCAAATAAATATAGAATGAGAGCAGCCAGCGATGAAGAGGAGGAGGAGGAGGGGGGCAGAGTGTGATGTGCAGGTGTGATGTAGCAGCTTGAATCTATCGGTGCGTTTATTAACAGCACCGTGAAGTGCGTTCACCTCCAGTGTTATTAAAGCAGGAGCTGCTTCACTGTCGAGGACTCAGAGAATATTTATCTGTCCTGTGAGCGCTGGCGCACTGAGTGTGGAAACATTTTAACATCAGCATCTTATTAAGACACGTTTATAAACAATAATCTGACTGCTGAACACATGTTAGGTTTTAACTGGCAGCAAATAGTTTCACAGAGGAGGAAAGTTTTAAAGCCTGTGTTCAGCTGCACAGTTTTTATTTCTCATTGAGTGTTTGTGTCATCAGTTTCTGCAGCTCTCTGCTCATATAAAGAGATAAACAAATTAATGTTTGCGCCTCTGCTACACAGTAAGATTTCATCACCTTGTCACGTTAGCGGTTAGCTGTGGTGGCGCTGAAACCTAACGTTATTCACACCACCTCAGCGTCTGCATTATTAAAGGGATAGTGCACCCAAAAATGTAAATTCAGCCATTTACTCACCCATATGTCGAGGGAGGCTCAGGTGAAGTTTTAGAGTCCTCACATCACTTGCAGAGATCCAAGGGGAGAGGAGGTAGCAACACAACTCCACCTAATGGAGGCTGACGTCGCCCCAGATTCAAACGTCCAAAAACACATCATTGAAACCACAAAATATCTCCATATTGCTCGTCCGTAGTGATCCAAGTGTCCTGAAGCCCCGACATAAAAAGTTGTTTGGAAAAACCTCATTTGAACTCTGTTTTTAGCCTCATTGTAGCCTGTAGCTCTGACTGCCTCTCTGGGCACCGCACTCACGTGTGTGTGCTTAAACAGAACGTAAGGAGAAGATATCATTTTTCAAAAATACTTCTGTACGTGTAGATGGAGCTTAAATCCAGGACAGGTGTCACAGACTCGCTGAAAACAACCTCACAAAGAGGTGATGACAGAATGTGAATACACTGAATGGCTGCTGCTGAAAACTGCTGATGGTTATGAAGAAGGATTAAAACTTAAATGAAGGTGTGAGCAGATTATTTTTGGATATTTGGGTCCAGAGAGAGACGATGTCGATGTTTCGTCCAAACTATGAGACGTGGTAACGACAGGATTTGAGCTTATAGATAAATCAAGAAGGTGTAAATAAAATACGATGCTGTGTGTTCTCTATGAGCCCAAACTGAGATATGAAAACTGATTTTAATAGTGCTAATGTTTCTCTTCAGCCTCTCCCAGTACAGTGATGAGAACATGATGGATGCTGGGAACCTGGCCATCGTCTTCGGCCCCACCCTCCTGCCCACACCGGACACGCTGGACCAGGTGGCCTGTCAGGCGCACGTCAACGAGGTCATCAAGACTGTGATCCTGAACCACGACAACATCTTCCCCGACACCAAGGAGCTGCCCGGCCCCGTGTACGAGAAGTGTATGACTGGAGACCAGTACTGGTGAGTTCACTGACACTTCAGCATTCGTTAATCAGATTCATCTCATTATAATATCTTAATGTTATCACTGTGTCTGCGTCTCTGCGTCCAGATTAACCTCCTGAACTCTGATCTTTACGTTACAGTCAGGCGTTTTCTGACATGAAGTTCGATTCAGTAAAACTTAATTTATCCCAAAGTAAATTCTTGTGTCAGAGAACGAGAGGCCTCACGAAAAACACTCCCGCTCTTTCTGAGTGATGTGATGTCATCCATCCTTTTAACCAGCGATCTTACGTTTCCCATAACGATGGAGGGAAGATATCTCCTCCTCTGTAGCCATCGTCTCACCCAGCCGTGGTATTTCCTCCTCAGCTCAGGAGGCTCATCAGCGCCGAGACAGTGCCAGAAAAAATAAATGTGAACCTGATAACATCAGAAACAAGTTTTATTTCCCAGAGCATCTTTAAAGCAGTGAGTGTAGAGCGTGTGTGTGTCAGTGTGTGTCAGTGTGGTTGTGTGTGTCAGTGTGGTTGTGTGTGGTTCTGAGAACAGTCGTCGTTCCTCTGCCATGAGCTGAACTCTTGACGTTGTGCCGGCGCTGCGTTGTTGCATAAACGTCCTCAGACTCTTGATCAGCAGCCTCGTCTCCATCTGTTCATCCTGCTTTTGTTCCCATGCTGAATGGACAGTGTGTCGATCTGAGCTTCATCTTCCTCCTCCTCCTCTTCCTCCTCTTCTTCTTCCTCTTCCTGCAGCGAGAGTCCGTTCAGCGAGCCGGGGGCGTTGGAGGAGGCCGAGCCCGACGGCGGCACAGAGACCCAGACCAGCGACGAGGGTACGCACGACCCCTGACCTTCACACAATTCGCCCCCACACTCCCATCCCTCTGTGTGTGTCCCTGGTGGAGAGGGGTTGCTACGGCAACAGCAGCCATGGAGACATCTCCCCCTCCACCACACTCCCTCCCTCCATTCTCCACACCCTCCTCCTCCCCCTCCTCCCCTCCTCCTCCTCCTCTCTCTGTATCAGGATTAATAGAAAAGACTGTTTGAATGCTGCGTTCTGATTGGTCGAGCTGTGGGAGGAACAAAGCCGCAGAGACGGCTGACTGACAGGTTCAGGTTCACCTCTTATCTTCAACCCCCCTCCTCCTCCTCCTCCTCTTTTCTCTGGCAGAGGGCGAGGGCGTGGAGGCGGTGGCGAGGTTCGACTATGTGGGCCGGTCGGGCCGCGAGCTCTCCTTCAAGAAGGGAGCGTCCCTGCAGCTCTTCCAGCGAGCGTCACATGACTGGTGGGAGGGACGGCACAACGGCAACCACGGCCTGGTGCCTCACCAGTACATCGTGGTGAAGGACAGGCGAGTGCTCAGCTGCACACACACACACACACACACACGCACCTCTTTATTCACACACTTTTATTTTAATATTGTTTCCATTTTGCTTTAATATGTCAGAGGAGCTGCGGTTGACGTTCAGAGGTGTTTCATCATCTTCTTAAATATTAATTTAAGTTTTCTGACACCTGATAGATTTTATTCCTCTGTACAAACATTAAATCAATCCCAAACACATAGAAGTATGAATATATGAACATTATTATATTATTTTAGGGTTAAATTTGAGTTTGTGAAGGAGAGAGTTTATAAAAACCAGGTAGGAAAATGTTATTTTAATATTGTTTTGGTTTCAACATTACGTTAATTCAGACATTTTATTTAACATATTAATGATATAGTAGGGGAAATGACCTATAATATGGTGTGGTATAGATGCACAAGAGTATTACAAATGTTGTATAACATAATAAAACATAGTGAATATGATATAGTTAATTTAAAAAAATGTTTTTTGTTTATTTGTACGTTTACAGCAGGTAGCATTAAAAACTTACCGTTATCATTTTATATTTCATCTATTTTTGATTATTTACATTTTGAAATGGATGTTTTTCTGCCTTGTTTTTGCCTCAAATTCAGTTTTCTTAATTAAAACAATTGAAATAACACACAAATTGCACAAGGAACTCAAACTGCACTTAAAATAATGTTAATAGAGTCTCATACTTCTTCATCTGAACAGTTTGTGTGTAAAATGTAAAGATAAGGTAGCGACTCTTGCATCTGTCTGTCTGCAGCTAATCTCACAGACTACTGGACCAATCAGCCTCATGTTGTGTGTGCACATTTATAACTGTTTGCTCAGTGATCTCTCGTGGTTGCAGTGAACCTGTTTATTGACCGATTGTTCCATCACTGACTCCTCACTCCTCTGAACCGGCCGGTCGGGGCTGCAAGTTTTCCAGAAATCATCTCGTCTAAAAACATCGAGCCTCACCGTCTGTTACAGGACACAATTTGTCCTTTGTCGTGACTCAAAAACTGACACCCATAGGAAAGTTTTGTCTCATTTTGAATCGGAGCATCTGCAGATTAACGACATACCTGATAGAGTTTATTATGATCAGGCACAATACAAGAATTGGTCAACTGTTCTTGTTATCTTCGCCGCTGTGAAGGTGACATTTCCACCAGGCGGTTGATCTGTTTCTGTACTCTTTGTGTCTGTGGTGGCAGGTGTACGAAAATGTAGTACAACCTGCAACTCGAGCAACAGCCTTGGAGCCAGTAAAAATTTAGCAGGGAGATGATCAGGGAGATCTGGGCGCTGGTTAGATGGAGGGAAGTTTCCAACAGTTCATTCACACATACTGCCCTCAGGGTTATGACACAGAGCTGGTTGAAAGTCTCCCTTTAACCTCTCTAACTCCGCCAGGACACCGACGTCCTCGCTCCCCCCCTCCTCTGTTAAATGGTATCTCCCAGGCGCACTACGTCATCAAACCATGTGATGTTTGGTATTGCTGGATTCAGGAAGCTCTCGACTTTTCAAAAATAACATCGTTTTTCTTTTATTTATTATGTATTTCACACCAGAGCAGCCTAAACACACAAAGTCCAAAATCACCATGAGTGGTGACAAGTCATGTCATGCCGTTTTTCAACGGGAAAAGTTAAAGGATTACTCGCAATCTTATGTGGAGCTGTTAGCGGGGACTTAGCTGGTTTATAAAAGGTAAGAGTCTCACTCCTACCACTATTTTTGGCTGAGATATACCGTCTAGAAAGTGGGATCATAACTTTCACGTTTCATATGGCTTTATTTGGTGATATTTTATGGTGTTTCTGTGTCATAAACAACATCAGCTATCATAATCACACCTGATTTCAATAAGGTACAATGTTTGAAGCTGGCTGAGTGTTGTTTGATCACTGATAGGACTGTTTTGAAGCAGAGTGACCCACTTGTCATTTGGAGCTCCGCCTGGATCTTTTCATGGTAAAAACACTGTAGAATGGTCATACTTTGAGCAGTCTTCTTCAAATTTGAAACAAGTGTTCATTGATAGTGTGCCTACAGCCCCACAGTGTCATTTACCTGCTCAGATGAAGCCACAGACAGTTATTCATCCTGAAACACATTTTTTATTTTATTTTAGGCAAAATCTTCAACTTTTTACTGACTTCAGAGGCCCATTACTCTGTCTCTGTATCACCTAGAGTGTTTCTGACACTTTCACAAGAAACTTCAGGGAGTTTTCTTTCTGGCAAGACCTCATGCATGCATGTAGTCAGAGCGGTTCAGAAGCTACAGGCATTTTAATTTGGGTATGTCATTTTAGGCGTTTTTGTTACTGGTCATAAATTGTTGAAATATTTCTTTAAAAAAATGTAATATTCAGTAAATGTATATTTTAACCATGCAAACTTTAAAAGGACCCTTTTATTTTATTAAAATATATTTTGTATTATTGTTTTATTGTTATTAGGGCCTGAGCACTGACTGCAGGAGGTTGTAAGGCCCGATAGAAATTGAAGGAATTATTATTTTTCCTTTTACCTGAAATAAACTGCTTTTCTGAGACGCTTATCTTGCTCGAAACTCATGAAACTTTGCACACATTTGAAAACTATGTGATACTGTAAAATTTAATATTTTATGAGTCTCATACTTGTGTGGGGAAAAAAATGGCTCAGTAGCACCTCCTATTAAATTTCTACTAAGCAGTCTCCAAAGTTGGTTTCCCCTACGTGTATGAAACTTGGTTGGCACATGAAACACCTCAAGACTTACAAAAAAGTCTCTTGGAGCCGTAAACCCAACAGGAAGTCGGCCATTTTGAATTTACTGTTCAGTTTTGTGCATTTTGTGTCTATTTCCAGGTTGTACTTAAACAAACTCCTCCTACAGATTTAATCCAGTTGCCTTAAATTTTGTCTGAACAATCTAAAGTGAAACAGATCATTAGAGCACCTGCACTCGATGCAGAAAACACCATCTCACTCCTGTGTGCAGTCAGAAAAGAAGGGCTGCATCATCCAGGCCCCGTCCATCGCTGCATGCAGCTTCAATTATTACATGTATTTAACATTTTAAAGCAGAGTGTGTTTAAGCTCTTGTTAACATCAGTGTCTCATGTGATTCATGGACGAGCTGCAGCGATGCTTCAGGTGGATTTGTTTCACGGCGTGTTGATTCACGGACTTATTGAACTGAGAGAGTCACTAACTGCAGACTATCGATCAGCTAATTGATGATTGGTGTGTTGTGTTAGTCCAGCTCTCCTGTGTCAGAGCCATCTGTCCTGACTGAGAGTCTGTGTGTGTGTTCAGGGCCGACGTCATGTCCGACACGCTCAGTCAGAAGGCGGACAGCGACGGAGGAAGCAGCAGCACCGACGACAAGAGGTCCAGGAGCGAGCTGAGCTCCCCCACTGACATCAGACCACCGGAGACCTACAACAGGTCTGTGTGTGAGACACCTCCATTATCACAGGAGAGGAGACGGAGACGGTTTAAACTTCTCCTCCTCTCACCTCTATAAATACCATCAGGCTGTTCTCACTCCTGAGTCTCATGTGACTCCTCTCTCTCTCTCCGCCTGCACACATCACACACCTTTCACTCTTATCCCCTCACTGACAATACTTTCATCTATGGAGGAGAAGTGGCTGAGCAGTTTGCCTTCACTTATAATGGTGCATTTCATCCTGGACTCCTCTGTTCACACCGTCAGTGTCTGAGTGTCTGACAGCATTATGAAAGGATTCCTACAGAGATAGAGCTTTGTGTTACAGAGTCAGATCCGTGTCTCTGTGTTTAACAGACTGAATATTTACAGAAGAACTTCGACACAGAAACACAGGTGACAAATATTAAAGTTAAAACCTTTGGAAAATGACGTAGAGATGGCGATCGTCTGAATCGTCCTCGACTTTATCTTTATGCTGTCGTTAGCAAGATCAGCCGACCGTTCATTATTCCTTCCACCCTGAGTGACTGTAAACTGTACCCTAAAACTGTTTGTACTTCCTGTCGACAGTCACAGGAGGAAGAGGACCGACGGTTTATTCCGCCGCCCCCTCGGCCGCTCCAACGACAACCACTGCCACGGGAACGGAGGTGTGATGGAGAGAAGCTCCCCGCCGGTGACGGGTCACTTCAGCCCCAGGGAGCTGCTGCTGGGGCGGGGCCAGGGCTTGACCCCGCCCCTTGACAGCCCTGAGCGCCGCCGCCGCTCAGCTGCCGCTGTGACCATGACAGTGAGCCGGCATGACTCGCTGCGGAGGCCGGAGGACACGCCCATCAGGCGCTCGAGCAGCGGGCAGCACGGCTTCAGTGAGTCCCATCGGTCCAGAGCGCTGGACCCCGACACACTGGCTCAGGTACACACACACACACACACACACACACACACACGGATACAGTTAATGAAGTTAAATAGACAGCATTAATTAAAGCTGCGTTAATCAGTGTTTAATGGATTAAATTGAATTATGTGAAATGGGTCGCTCGTAGAGAATCATCAGAGATTCTGCAGCTGTTAAATGTTCTCATGTAAATATTCAGTTTACAGTCTGTGGTGTGTGTCTGCTCGCTGAGCTCATGAGCTCCTCTTTAAAACTGCTGCAGTCAGTATTCATGTGTTTGAATGTGTCCGTGTAAACCAGAGACACAGTTCTGCCTTTGCTGTGTAGTTTCTATTCTATATTTTTACAATAACAGCATGAAGCTGTGTGTAGCAGCTGAATCTGCAGCTTTAAGGAGTTTTGTGTTTGTGTGTAAACATGTTTACGTGTGTTTTAAAAGTCCGGTTTAAGTCGCACTAACATGTTTACGTGTGTTTTAAAAGTTCGGTTGAAGTCGCACTAACATGTTTACGTGTTTTAAAAGTTCGGTTGAAGTCGCACTAACATGTTTACGTGTTTTAAAAGTCCGGTTTAAGTCGCACTAACATGTTTACGTGTGTTTTAAAAGTTCGGTTGAAGTCGCACTAACATGTTTACGTGTTTTTTGAAAGTCCGGTTTAAGTCGCACTAACATGTTTACGTGTGTTTTAAAAGTTCGGTTGAAGTCGCACTAACATGTTTACGTGTGTTTTGAAAGTCCGGTTTAAGTCGCACTAACATGTTTACGTGTGTTTTAAAAGTCCGGTTTAAGTCGCACTAACATGTTTACGTGTGTTTTAAAAGTTCGGTTGAAGTCGCACTAACATGTTTACGTGTGTTTTAAAAGTCCGGTTTAAGTCGCACTAACATGTTTACGTGTGTTTTAAAAGTCCGGTTGAAGTCGCACTAACATGTTTACGTGTGTTTTAAAAGTCCGGTTTAAGTCGCACTAACATGTTTACGTGTGTTTTAAAAGTCCGGTTGAAGTCGCACTAACATGTTTACGTGTGTTTTAAAAGTCCGGTTTAAGTCGCACTAACATGTTTACGTGTGTTTTAAAAGTCCGGTTTAAGTCGCACTAACATGTTTACGTGTGTTTTAAAAGTCCGGTTTAAGTCGCACTAACATGTTTACGTGTGTTTTAAAAGTCCGGTTTAAGTCGCACTAACATGTTTACGTGTGTTTTAAAAGTCCGGTTTAAGTCGCACTAACATGTTTACGTGTGTTTTAAAAGTCCGGTTTAAGTCGCACTAACATGTTTACGTGTGTTTTAAAAGTCCGGTTTAAGTCGCACTAACATGTTTACGTGTGTTTTAAAAGTCCGGTTTAAGTCGCACTAACATGTTTACGTGTGTTTTAAAAGTCCGGTTTAAGTCGCACTAACATGTTTACGTGTGTTTTAAAAGTCCGGTTTAAGTCGCACTAACATGTTTACGTGTGTTTTAAAAGTCCGGTTTAAGTCGCACTAACATGTTTACGTGTGTTTTAAAAGTCCGGTTTAAGTCGCACTAACATGTTTACGTGTGTTTTAAAAGTCCGGTTTAAGTCGCACTAACATGTTTACGTGTGTTTTAAAAGTCCGGTTTAAGTCGCACTAACATGTTTACGTGTGTTTTAAAAGTCCGGTTTAAGTCGCACTAACATGTTTACGTGTGTTTTAAAAGTCCGGTTTAAGTCGCACTAACATGTTTACGTGTGTTTTAAAAGTCCGGTTTAAGTCGCACTAACATGTTTACGTGTGTTTTAAAAGTCCGGTTTAAGTCGCACTAACATGTTTACGTGTGTTTTAAAAGTCCGGTTTAAGTCGCACTAACATGTTTACGTGTGTTTTAAAAGTCCGGTTTAAGTCGCACTAACATGTTTACGTGTGTTTTAAAAGTCCGGTTTAAGTCGCACTAACATGTTTACGTGTGTTTTAAAAGTCCGGTTTAAGTCGCACTAACATGTTTACGTGTGTTTTAAAAGTCCGGTTGAAGTCGCACTAACATGTTTACGTGTATTTTAAAAGTCCGGTTTAAGTCGCACTAACATGTTTACGTGTGTTTTAAAAGTCCGGTTGAAGTCGCACTAACATGTTTACGTGTATTTTAAAAGTCCGGTTTAAGTCGCACTAACATGTTTACGTGTGTTTTGAAAGTCCGGTTTAAGTCGCACTAACATGTTTACGTGTATTTTAAAAGTCCGGTTTAAGTCGCACTAACATGTTTACGTGTGTTTTGAAAGTCCGGTTTAAGTCGCACTAACATGTTTACGTGTATTTTAAAAGTCCGGTTTAAGTCACACTAACATGTTTACGTGTCTTTTAAAAGTCTGGTTTAAGTCGCGCTAACATGTTTACGTGTATTTTAAAAGTCCGGTTTAAGTCGCACTAACATGTTCACAGTCACTAAAGACTCCTGATCGTGTCTCTCTGTAACTGCAGGACGTGAAAATAAGCAGCTGTTTGATAAAAAGTTCAACACATCAGCTCGTGTAAATGTCCACAGCTTGTTTGTGCTGCCCCCTACAGGCCACAGAAATTAGTAATTACAGGTGTAAAGTTGTGAGGTGTGTCCTTGTCTGTCTTCATGGACTCTTTAACGGTCCTCTGTCCTCCTGCAGGACATCGAGGAGACGGTGACAGTGGCTCTGGGGGAGCTGAGGCAGCTGGAGCGGCAGGGCTGCCGGCCGGCTCCCGACGTGGTGCTGGACACTCTGGAGCAGGTGAAGAACGGCCCCGTCACCGCCTGCTCCTCCGAGTCTCCCAGCCCCCACAGCACCCCCAGCACACCGGGGACCCCAGGCACCCCCGGGACTCCCGGCACCCCCGGCACCCCGAGCCCCCTCAGCCCCCTGAGCCCCATCAGCCCGCTCCCCGGACCTCCGCCCGGACCTCCCCGACCATCCAACCCCTCCCCCGACACCCTGGGCTCCTTCAAGCCCGTGGCAGCTGCTCGCATGGGGGCTCCGCTGCGGCCCCCGGCCCTGAGGCCCAAACCGATGGTCCCGCCGAAGAGCAGCACCCCGCCTCTGCCCCCACCGCTGGACAAATCCTGCACCATGTGAGCCAAAACAGGCCGAAGAAGGCCAAATCAGGCCTACCCGGGCCAAAACTGGGCCAGAAGAGGAGATCAGGGTACTGCTTAGTGTTTATAATCAACATGAGGGTAGAAAGGGTAGGACAGAGAAAAGGGTTTTACTGTAGTAATAAACTATAATATATGACATGACCTATGATATGATATGCCATGATATTTCTGTGTTGTCAGGTTGGTGTGTACTCTCTCTTGGTGTGTAGGAGTTTCCTTTCTCCATGTATCGAAGCATTTATCAGAGGTTAGCTAAAAGAAGTGCAGAAGAAGAAGAAGAGACACAGGAACGAAGCGGAGCGTCCTGTCCTGTATATGAGTCGGCGGTAGTCGGGGAGACGTGGCGAGTGTAGTGCAGCTCCAGTAAAAATGTAGTTTCAGTGAATACGTGAATGTTGGCTGTGCTGTCATGACGATAGGCTAGCTGAGGAGCCCGTCACCAACAAGGCCGCTGTGTTGGTAGAAACTGTCCCGATGGATGGGCTGCTGCGTCTGTCAGAAGGAAGAGGACCCGGCAGAGTGACGGCAACGACCACGTCTGTGCGACTTATAATTTATTTTTTTATTTTTCCACTCGGTTCAGCTGCTAAGCTCACTTTCACCTCAAACCACGAAAAACGCCTCCTGAGGTCGTCAGTGACACCAAACTCACGTTATCTAACCAACGTCCAGCTATCTAATGAATGTTTCCAGTATTTAACGACTGTTCAGCCATCTATTGAATGTTCAGCGAGCTGCTGCGGCGACTCACGAAACTTTTTAACAGCCTTCTTGTGTTTTCGGAGGGTGGGGGAGGGGGCGGAGCTTCAAACAGGGTGTGACGGTTGAGTGGCGGAGGAGCTTGGACAGAACTTTTTTCTGGGATGGGCGGGGGAGGGGAGGGTGTATGATTTTGTTCTTGTTGGTGTGTGTGAAGACGAGTGTGTGTGTGTTCTGCTTGCCTGCCCTTGTTCTGCTCCCTTGTAAGTGCAGAGGCACTAGAATAGTGATAGATGATAGAATATTCATGCCTGCCCTGAGTGCCAGAACACGCAAGTGCAAGTTGGGAAAACGAGAGCAAAAAGCATGCCACTTCCTGTGCGTGTGTGTGTGTGTGTGTGCAAGGATAATGGTTTACCTGCTTGTGAAGTCACTGAAGTCACTAGTTAACCTTAAATTCACAATAAGCTAACAGGGTGGGGCTTTGTGTGTAAACGCCCAAAAAAACAAACAAAAAAAGAAACACTTGAACAGCACACTGAATGTGGCCTCCAACTGGGCTGGTAACTGATGTGTGTGTGTGTGTGTGTGTGTGTGTGTGGTGCTGAGATGGGCTATGGATGCACATCTGTGTGTGTGTGTGTGTGTGTGTGTGTGTGTGTGTGTGGGGGGGGGTGAGGTGATGGATGCACATCTGTGTGTGTGTGTGTGTGTGTGTGTGTGTGTGTATGTGAAAGTGCCTTTTTTTTAATCCGTGTCTTTTTTGGGGAGTCCACTCACGCATGTCCTGAACGAAGAGCAGCAGCACTCTGAATGAAATAATCATAAAGTGTTTAGTAGACTTACTGAATTATGAATTCTAGCATTAACCCATTGTGACATTGCACTTTGATGTATAGGATCGTGTACTTGGCATGTAGCATCATAACATGTTGGTGCATTTTAACTCAAAGGGAGGTTTCTTTGAATGTGTTTCATAATAACGGAAAATGGTTTTTGTCTGTTAGTGTTGCTGTATTTGAAAAACTGAGCTTCCTAAAGATGAGCTCATATAGCCAAATGGATTGTATCAACGTGTTGTATTTATATTATAAATAAATCGGAATAAATTAGCATCGAGTCGTTACATCGATCGGAACTTTTCTTTAAATGAAATGTGGCTAAATGTTTTGTTTGAACACTCAATAAACCTCCAGGTGTGTTCTGTAACTCAGCGGCGTCTGACACTCTTTCTGTCACATTGTTCTTTAAATGTCACAAATGTCAGCAGAAGTTTCTTCCTCTGAAATAAAACCTGACGTTCTGCCTCTGCAGAATAATAACTCCCTGTGAGTGCTCTTATCAAACACTGAAGACACATTGCTCACATCTTTCACAGGTTTAACATCTGAGACTTCTTTACGTGCTCAACAGAGCGTCCACTTTATTAGGTACACCTTGCCTGGACCCCTTTTGCCTTCAGAGCTGCCACCAATAAATCAGTTTTCTCTGATGTCATGCAAATGTATTGACTCTTAAAGGGATAGTGCACCCAAAAATGTAAATTCAGCCATTATCTACTCACCCATATGCCGAGGGAGGCTCAGGTGAAGTTTTAGAGTCCTCACATCACTTGCAGAGATCCAAGGGGAGAGGAGGTAGCAACACAACTCCACCTAATGGAGGCTGACGGCGCCCCAGATTCAAACGTCCAAAAACACAT